CACACACACACACACACACACACACACACACACACACACACGCGCACGTTCTCTCAGTCACACTCTTTTCTTAATCATTTAGAGTAAATCCTATTTTTATGATTCTAGGATTAAATGCAGCGTCAAGCCTGTCAATTTAATTTCCACTGCCTGCCCTCATCCAGAGTTCACATATTTATGCATAAAATGTTACATTTTTGAAAAGCTGGCTGTGTTTTACTCCCAGCTGTACCAGAACTTGTTCTGATTTGAACAGATGGTTCAAATATTTACGGAGGCTGAGTATTTTTCATAATGATGCTTCATCAAAGGAAAAATAAAATCCGCTCTCTTTAAATTCTTTGATTTTACGTATCAGGGCATAACGAAACAATTGATCTTGTTTTTGAAATGTTCTAAAAAATCTTAACCTGTAGTAGAAAGCAAACATATGACAGGTTCCTCCATGTACTTTTTTATTAAACAAAAGCAAAGCTAAAATAAAAAATCAGAGTGTGAAAAACTACATTTGACACAGTATTAAGGAGCAAAGAAATTAGCAACAACCAGCTAATAAATAAATTGCTCCACTAACCCACAATCCGCTAACTAAAGTTATACCTTCGCTTAAGTTACGCAGAACTGCTACATGTACAAAAAGGGAAGTTATGCTAAATGGCTCGACTGGTAAAAATAAGAAGCTAACAGTTAGCTGTTAGCTGACATAAAATTGACAGAACCCAATTTAGTGGAAGCTAAATGGTCCGCTAATGGTTTTCAAAGTTAGTGAAAAAACTAATCCCAGAAACATAAAATTAGTTCAGCTGTGAGCAGTATTAAAGTGTCTGTGACATGCGTATTCTGCAAATACAAAAAGTCAAAGAAAATATCTTTATATTTAAAAAAGTTGGGATAATACCCACGATTTAACCCATTTTGTCCCATGACTGGCATTTTTTCTTTTGAACTTGACTCAGCCAAAGTGAAACAGGAAGTGACATCAAAGGAGAACTCTTCAACAACAACAAAATAAAAAAAACCTCTGGTCTTTGTTTATTGAAACAATATTTTTTGAACACTGATTCTTCTTCATCTCTCTGAGAGCGACTCAGAATAATCTACAGAAACATCAGATTCTTCTCTACAGTCTGGGTTATTAGCTGTAGCAATGCTCATTTCACATGGAGACGTTCCCCTTTGACATCACTTCCTGTTACTTCACAGGCAAATATCTCAACAACGGTTCATCTTGGCGACATGAAATTTCTTTTGCAATATTTTATCAATGCCCTCTTTCTAAAAATGCATTCATATGTCTTACAAAAATTTGACGACACAGGCACTTTAAAGCAGATCCCTGAACACTACTGCAAATACAGAACTGTATATAATACAGTATGAAGTGGTGGGCATGGTTGTGCTAATCGGCTAACAGTGGAACTAATTATTCATTTAACAGATTAGCTTTATTAAACCGTTGAGGTAAAAAAATTGTAACTGACATGGTCACTTGTTTAGTCTGTAATACTTTACAATTTAAGTTGTAACAGTAGCTAAAACAATATGTTGGGCTGTAATCATGAGCTGTAATGGGAACAGCTGTGAGCTGCTGCAGTTAAATGATGACTGCACGACTAATTAAAAAGCCACCATTGATTAGGGAGCCAATAAAAAGCAGGTGGAAACCTTTAAGAAGGACTGAGGCAGGTTTTGTGAGCGGCCTGTGCCTGTGGGACTGCAGTTCTGCACACAGAGCAGAAATATTCGGTTTCTAAAACAGTTCTTTTTCAATTATTCTGTTCCTTGTTCTCAAATGACACACATACATCTGTCTTTCATGTGCTTCAGATCAATTAGCTTTCATATGGTTCAACAGACTACAGCCTTTATACAAGAGAGGCGGTGAAGGAGTTCATCTTTGACTCTTTCATAAGACATTGGACCTCATGCAAGAACCGTTTGTACGCACAGATTTGTTCTTAAGTTGTGCGTACGAGTGATTTAGGAG